ATATCTTATGGAATATTGAAGATAACAATATTTCTCATCCTATGACGATATGTGTTTTTTGTGATGATGCAAAATATAATAAGGTAGAAAAATTATATCGAATGATTGATTCAAAAAATTTACTCAAGAACTATAAAATACATCGTCAATATGATAGATTTTATATACAATGGAAATGATTTGATTTAATTGTTATTTTGTTTTGTTGAAATCAAGAATACACTTGAAGTTATGTTTATATAAAATGATTCATCTATAAATTGTACTTGATCTAGATTGAAATGAAAATAAATCTCAATCACCCAACTTGAAAGATCTTAAAAGATAAAACATATGCCGGACTGTGGATTATTTGTAATAATAAGAAGAGATGATGTTAAAGATGAGAGTGAAATTTTTTAAGTTAGTCTTTAAGTATTCGATGCGAAATTTTTACTATCGAGATCGAAAATCGAATAAATGTATTTTATCTTTTTCTGTCATCTTTTGTTTTTTTTTTATTATTTCTAAGCCAAGATCAGCAAGCTATTTTTTTATCCAAGATGAGAAAAAGATGATAGCGAAATTTTTCTCAGTTTTTCAAATTCTTTCATTTCATTTTTATAATCAATAAATTCATTACACTGTTTATTATTGATTTCTCATTGTATCACTTGTTCTTAACCAACTCTCTACATTCAAGTTAATGATACTTCTCTTCTACTTAAAATCTTTATCTTGGTAATGTTTATCAAATTATTTTTCATTTTTCTTTATTAAAATATTTGAAGATGAAAATATTCAAATATGAAAAAGTAGAATATCGTCGTATTAATTGCTATTCAAGAACTATTTTCTTCTATTGAACGTTTAGTTATCTTTCATTGCCTTACTCTCAATGAACTTTCTGATATACTTTTGTACACACTTCAACTCTCTCTCTCTCTGTCTCATCTTCGTCCATATTGGCATATTTTAACAATATTTCTTCATATTAATAACTTTTTTTTTCTGATTTCTTTTAAGGAATTACGATTGAATTTCCTAGAATTTTCGTAAATTGATACATATTTTAATCAAAATTGAATAAATGATTTTAATGTTATCAATGACTGTCGACTGGATGTGGGTATGGGTTATCTCTTTATCAATATGCTGAATACTCTATATTTAAATATGAACTAGTCTTTGAATAAAAAGTGATATGAAACTTTCTAAATATAATAAGATTGCTTATTAATAATCTACTCGAAAGTATTCTAAGCAGATGAGATATTATGGCTTTATGAATAGTCTGAAATTTTTCAAGAAAATTTTTGTCGATCTTTTGACACAATTATTTGAAAGTATTCAAATAAGTAAGAAAAAATAATTATGATTTAAAATCAAGATTTTATTTTATCGCATGAATACTTATGTAGAAAAGATGATATTGAACTAAACTGTCACTTTTATACAATCTATATTAAATATCATTTTGTTGAAAGCTCAATTTTTTTGAAAAATAATTATGATTAGAAAACAACAGTTTAAGAGAGCATCTATGAGGGTACTAAGAAATCAAGGTACCGATGAAAATTTTGATTTTTGATGCGCGTTTGGACGTTAATAGTCTAAAACCATTAAATCCAAACCTTTAACTCATTTGCATGTAATTACATTCAGTCATACCAACAAACACATAGACACACCCTAGAGTTGAGCTACACATAAATTCATTCAAATAGGCAGATTACTAGTTTGGAGTTCGCGACAAATATTTTTTGTATTCCGATGTTCATCGATAGGCAAACTTTCCCACAAAATTCGTCAAGTAGCAAAATTATAATTGGCGAAAACAAGTATTGGTAATAAGATTTGACTCCATTGATAAGGAAAATTTCCTTCTCTATATTAATTCTATAGAACGACAACTATTCACTAGAAATAACAATTTATTTTATTATACATACAAATAAGAATCTATAAATAATGATAAATTATATGTATGACAAACTGATTAACAAGTGTTTCGACCATAGTGTACATCTTGTGAAATGCTAAAATGGTCTTTATGACATCAATAAATTACAAGAAATGAGAATTTATTTTATTATGTATAATGTGAGAAAGTCGACAGGCTTTATTTTAGATACTTTACTTTACTTTTTTTCTATTGTTGTCAGTCTAAAGGAAAAATAATCATGGTTACTTTTTTTTTACTTTAAATTCATTGTAGAATAGTAGGATTTTCGGAGTTTATTGAATGAGAAACTTACTGATATAGCGCATAATTTCTATCATGAATAGTTAGAAATATTCGATTTAAATGAATTTTCATTTATACTCCATTTCATACACAAGATAATAATAATACTTGTGCATGACTCATAAGGGTGTGGGTGTGGGTGTGTGGGTGTGGGTGGGTGTGGGTGGGTGTGGGTGTGAGTGTGGGTGTGTGGGTGTGGGTGTGGGTGTGGTGTGGGGTGTGGGTGTGGTGTGGGGTGTGGGTGTGAGTGGTGTGGGTGTGGATGTGGGGTGTGGGTGTGGGTGTGAGGTGTGGGTGTCGGTGTAAACGTTTTTTGTGTACACACCCCCACCCTCACAGCTACACCCACACCCACACCCACCCACCCACCCACACCCACACCCAACCCACACCCACACCCTCACACTCAAACCCACACATCCACACCCACACCCACACCCACACTCACACCCACACTCACACCCACACCCACCCACACCCATCCACACCCACTCCCACCCACACCCACCCACACCCACCCACACCCACACCCACAGCCACAACCACAGCCACACCCACAGCCACAGCCACAACCACAGCCACAGCCACACCCACACCCCGCACCCACACCCATACCCCGCACCCACACCCACAGCCACACCCTCACGCCCACACCCCGCACCCACACCCACACCCACACCTTCACACCCGCACCCACACCCCGCACCCACACCCACACCCCACACCCACACCCACAC